CAGGTAGCCCAGGTGGTGCCTGACCTTGGAATTTCAGCATCCTTGAGACCAGGTGTAAAGCAGGTCTCAGCTGGAGCCCCAGTTCTTTGCTCTTGGAAATCGGCTTCCTCAGTTGGCAGTGTGGCCTCATCTCATTCCTCGGGGGAACCCTGCGCACAGGAGCACAATGACCCCACCTGGGTGTCTGTGTTCAGCCAGTGGTGGCGGTGGGCATAGCCACCGTGTGCGGGCGTCAAGGAGAGAGGCCAGGCAGAAGGGCACCCGCTGCTTCTCAGAGCAGGGGGTAAGAAGCACACCAGCATGGAGACTGCAGGAGACGGCGGCACGGGGCCACTGCCGCTGCTCACGCAGAGATAGGCGGTGCCCGCTCCGTGCCATCCCCGGCACCGAGCAGGAACGATCGATCCCGACATAGAGCCCCACGGTCCTGATCATCTGAACTTGAACTGCTCATTGGAAGCAAGGGTGCAATTCACCTTCAGCTTGCGGTTGGGATGGTGGGAGGGGGCAGAGCTGAGCTGTCCAGTAGGAGGCAGCAACCCCATGTGGCTCTCATCACCACTATGAAGCTTTTTTCTTTTTTAAGATTTATTTATTTATTTGAAAGAGTTAAACAGAGAGAAGGAGAGGCAGCGGGGGGGGGGAGTCTTCCATCTGCTGGTTCACTCCCCAATTGGCTGCAACAGCTAGAGCTCTGCTGATCAGAAGCCAGGAGCCAGGAGCTTCTTCTGGGTCTCCCACAGGGGTGCAGGGGCCCAAGGACTTGGGCCATCTTCCACTGCTTTCCCAGGCCATAGCAGAGAGCTGGATTGGAAGTGGAGCAGCCGCTGAGGCACTGGCATCGAACCAGTACCCAGTGCTTCAAGCCAGGGTGTTAACCCGCTGCGCCACAGCGCCGGCCCCCATGAAGATTTCCTAAATAGAAATGTGCTTCAGGTGCAAGATACGCACGGGGTGTTGGTTTATACGTGAAAACGGTCATCATTTGAATAGTCAAAGGCGCGTGCCTTGTTCTCGGGTTCTTTAATGTGGCTCCTGGACAGTTTATTTCTTCAAACCTCAGTCGAGTTGTTTTCTCCAGGACAAAGCTAGTGTCAGCTCAGAGCCCCTGCAACACCCAGCTGGTCCAGGCTGGTGCTGGCACAGGCCTGTGGCAGCAGCTGTGAGGCTGAGTAAGTCAACAGAGAACCCACCTCCCTGAGTCCCGAGTAGCCCAGCCTGTGATCTGAGTGAGAGGGGAGAATACGCCCCGTGGCCGGCTGGCTGTTGAGAACCTAGGCCTGCCTACGGCTCCCACAGGGGAGGCCCCATGCCTCTAAGTCCATCCATACTGCCCGGTGTGGGCTGGCTGCAGGCTTGCAGGCTGCACTTCTTCTTCTTCTTTTTTTCTTTCTTTCTTTTTTTTTTCTTATTTTGTTTTCACAGGCAGAGTGGACAGTGAGAGAGAGAGACAGAGAGAAAGGTCTTCCTTTTGCCATTGGTTCACCCTCCAATAGCCGCCGTGGCTGGCGCACCGCGCTGATCCGATGGCAGGAGCCAGGTGCTTCTCCTGGTCTCCCATGGGGTGCAGGACCCAAGCACTTGGGCCATCCTCCACTGCACTCCCTGGCCACAGCAGAGAGCTGGACTGGAAGAGGGGCAACCGGGACAGAATCCGGTGTCCTGACAGGGACTAGAACCCGGTGTGCCTGCGCCACAGGCGGAGAATTAGCCTAGTGAGCCGCGGCGCCGGGCTGCACTTCTTTTTTTAAGGAAGATTTATTTTATTTATTTGAAAGGCAGGGTACGGAGAGAGGGAGATAAAGACAAAGAGAGGTTCACTCCCCAAATGGCAACAATGGCCAGAGCTGGGCCGGTCCAAAGCCAGGAGCTTCATCCAGGTCTCCCCCGTGGATACAGGAGCCCAGGCACCTAGGCCCTCTTCTATTGCATTCCCGGCTGCATTAGCTGGGAGTGGGATTGCAAATGGAGCAGCTAAGACTTGAATGAGCACTTATAGAGGCTGCGGGCACTGCAGGCAGTGGCTGAGCCTGCTGCACCATAGCGCTGGCCCCAAACTTTTTTTTTTTTTTTTAAAGAGTTACTTTGTTTACTTGAAAGGCAAAGTTACAGAGAGAGAGACAGAGAGAAAGGTCTTTCATCCGCTGGTTCACTCCCTAAATGACCACAACGGCTGGAGCTGGGCTGATCTGAAGCCAGGAGCCAGGAGTTTCTTCCGGATCTCCTACATGGATGCTGGGGCCCAAGCACTTGGGCCATCCTCCACTGCTTTCCCAGGCATGCCAGCAGGGAGCTGGGTTGGGAAGAGAGAAGCTCAAATTGTTTTGTTTGTTTGTTTGTTTTAAATCACAAAGTAAAACCATCTCATATTGAGGTCAAGGAAATTAATGAAACCTGACCAGAAATCTTCATAAAATTGCACTCATTAGACCACAATCACTTCTTCCAAAGGGCTTTTTCTGTCCATGACTGTGACAATCTATGTTAAGAAGGTTAGCAAAGGGGCTGGCATTGTAACATCCCATATCAGAACGCAGGTTCAAGTACTGGCTGCTCCACTTCTTCTTTCTTTCTTTTTTTTTTTTTTTTTAAGATTTATTTATTTGAAAGGCAGAGTTACAGAGAGGCAGAAGCAGAGAGAGAGAGAGAGATCTTCCATTCACCGGTTCGATGATTCACTCCCCAGATGGCCGCAATGATTGGAGCTGTGCTGATCCGAAGCCAGGAACTTCTTCCGGGTCTCCCACATGGGTGCAGGGGCCCAACGACTTGGGCCATATTTCACTGCTTTTCCAGGCCACAGCAGAGAGCTGGATTGGAAATGGAACAGCCAGGACTCGAACCAGCACCCATATGGGATGCTAACACTGCAGGCGGCAGCTTTACTCACTACGCCACAGCGCCTGCCTCTGCTCCACTTCTGATCCAGCTCCCTGCTAAAGTGCCTAGGAAAGCAGGAGAAGGTGGTCCAAGTTCTTAGGCCCCTGCACCCACGTGGGAGACTCAGATGGAGTTCCAGGCTCCTGGCTTCTACCTGGCCCAGCCCCAGCCATTGCAGCCATTTGGGGAGTGAACCAATGGAAGATCTCCTCTGCCTCCCCTCTCTCTCTAACTCCGTCTTTCAAATAAATATAATATTAAAAAAAGATTAGTGAATAAACCTCAAACCCAGGCAATCAGTTGGCCATTCGAGGTCCTGTGTTTATTTTTTCCTGTTAGTCACCATATCAAAAGTGAAAAAGATGTTTCATAATCTTACTATTTTCCCTATATGACAGTAAATAACATGATATGCATTTATTTTTTAGAGTCTTTAAAAAAGTTCCTTTTGGAGGGCCAGGGCTGTGGCATAGCTGGGAAAGCTGCCGCCTGCAATGCCAGCATCCCATATGGGCGCCAGTTCGAGTCCTAGCTGCTCCACTTCCAATCCAGCTCTCAGCTATGGCCTAGGAAAGCAGTAGAAGACAGCACAAGTCCTTGGGCCCCTGCACCCACGTGGGAGACCCGGAGACACCCTTCTCTGAGCATAGGAGACCCTGGATCGGCACAGCTCCGGCCGTTGTGGCCAACTGTGGAGTGAACCAGCAGATGGAAGACCTCTCTCTCTCTCTCTGCTTCTCATTCTCTCGCTGTAACTCTGAATTTCAAATAAATAAATAAATATTTTAAAAGTTCCTTTCGGGTTTTCGATGACTCACAGATGGTCCAAGGGCAAGGTGACATCAGAGTGAAAACCCTGGGTGGGTGGGGGTAGGGCAGGGAAGATTAGATCACAGGAGATTACTAAGGGATTGGATTTAGTTCTCTTTCACTTCCTGGTGATCATTTGCTGGTTTTTGTCCAGTTGAGGCGAACATATATCACGAGCCCTAAAAGTCCTGTTCGAGGCCGGGCTTTGTGACTGCTCAGCTTAAGCCGCTGCTTCCCACACCAGCATCCTATCTCAGAGCACCGGTTCAGGTCCCAGCTGCTCTCTGGAGACGTGCCTGGCAAAACAGCAGGTGATGGCTCAAGACCTTGGGCCCCTGCCACCCATGTGATAGACCCCAGTGGAGTTCCAGGCTCTTGGCTTTGGCTTGATCCAAACGGCTGCAATGGCTGGGACTGAGGCAAGGCAAGGCCAAGAGCTTGGAACTCCATCTGAGTTTCCTACATGAGAGGCAGGGGCCTAAGCACTTGGGCCATCATCCACTGCTTTCATAGATGAGTTAGCAGGAGCTGGACTGGAAGTGGAACAGGCAAGACTTGAACTGGCAACCATATGGGATGCCAGTCTTGCAGGCGGTGGCTTATTCCCCTGCACTGCTATGCCGGATCCTTGCTATTTTATTATTTTAGATGTCTCTTGTTAACATATACATTTCATTTCCTTTGGTTATATACCCAGGAGTGGGATCTCTGGATCATAGGGAGGTTCCATTTTAAATTTTTTTTAAAGATGTTTATTTATCTATTTGAGAGGTAGAGCTATAGAGAGAGGGAGAAACAAAGAGAAAGATCTTCCATCTGCTGGTTCACTCCCTAAGTGGCTGCAATGACTGGATTTGGGCCAATCTGAAGCCAGGAGCTTCTTTCAAGGTCTCCCACACGGGTGCAGGAGCCCAAGGACTTGGCCCATCTTCCACTGCTTTCCCAGGCCACAGCAGAGAGCTGGTTCGGAAGTGGAGCAGCCAGGCACCACAGGAGTCTGGATATTTAGCCTACTATGCCACAGCGCCGCCCCCCCCCCCCCCATTTTGAATTTTTTAAAGAATCTCCATACAGTTCCAATTTACACTCCCATTTGAGATAAAACATGCTCACATCTAAGACAATGCTCTGAGCAGTGGGGGTGAAAAATGGAGTCTTTCCAGTTCTGGGTATTTACCCAGTTCTCTGTGCGTCTCTCTCTTTCTCTCTCTCTCTCTCTCTCTCTCTCTCTCTCTCACACACACACACACACACATTCTACTATGAATGACAGATACTGCACGCCACCCCCCCGCCCCCCGTCGCTTAGGAAATCATGTTATCAACTGGTCACTTACAAAAGTTTATTTAATTCATAATCCCCATAACACAGTAGGTGCAGCTTGCCAGAAATAAAAAAATAGAAGTAAAACATTGGAAATCCATCTGAGAATATAGGACTTATTCTTTAGCAAACAAAACATAAAACCCAACCAGTTGGGGGTGACAGTAGTCACTAATTATATCCTAACGAATCTCATCACCTTAGTCATGGCCATGAAAAGCTCCATACTTCTCTGCTGTGACCTTGGATGAAATTTGCACCAAGCAGAAAGTTCTGAGGTCCAGCCGCCAAGGGTTTCCCCGTCCAGGCTCCTTCGCAGTGGGGGTTTATCTGTCCTCCCTCTGCTGGTCGGAGGGGTCGGCATCTCCCAGGCGCACAATGGGGCACATGCTCAGGGCGCCCTGAACCCCGTTAGGTGGGATTGAGAGAGCAAAGAACGGGCGCAGCGGCTCCCCCGCAGGAAGTCCCGTGAAGGTAAAGATGTGGGCTTCGTTTTCAACGCAGTAAAAAGAGACGTTTCCCACGTCCACGTCCAGGAAGATCCCCACTTGGTGTAAGAGGGAGTTTGTGCAGAGGGGAATGTGAGGTGTGGTGCTGGCCCAGAAAAAGCCCCTGGCACTCCGACTCAGAGTCCAGAAGCCCTGCTCCGAGGAGAGCTGGATCTGCCCTTGCCGGCAAACAGAATCCCTGCAAACCCCCAGGTTCCACTCTGTGCTCGACCCCACGTCCACCTCCCAGTAGTGGCGGCCGGAGACGAACTGAGGGGTGCCCAGGACGCAGACGGACAAGTCGAACCTCGAAGGGAGCGCTGGCCGATTCTGCCTGATGGGCCCGCACCAGATGCTCCTGAGGTCATCCGAGAGGATGAGGAAGTTGTTGGCCGTGTCTGCGTCCAAGGTCACGTCCACTGGGAAATAAAAGCAAGCACCTCAGCTAACAGACAGGTTCTAGGCCCGCACTTCCTGCCCCAAATGTCACATTTCCTTCCCTCCCTCTCATTTTGCTTTTCCCCAAACCTGTAACTTTTCATAAAGCAACTTCCCCGGGCTCCCTCCCTGGCTCCAATGTTTGGAGGCCCTGGTTCCCAGCAGGAACCCACTGTCACGTTACATTACAGACTATGGCGACAGCCTGGAACCTTCCTCCCAGGTGACCAGAGGGTCTCCCAAGGCAGCCGCCAGGCCCCTCCTCTACGGACCCAGGAAGACAAATTAACAGTGAAGACGATGCAAGCTGGCGCAGTAAATGCTACATTTCTGTTTCATTGTTTCACTGTGCCAGTTCTAGGTATCTAGGGCCTAATTTCAGGATGTTTTTTCCAGGTTCAGACACAGTTGCTCTAAATTCCCGCTAATCTGAGCCCAGTCCCCACGCCAGCGATGTCAGCACGCCGAATCTCCCAGAACCTGCGTCCTAAGTCCCCAGGTTGCGTGAGCTCCGTGGGTTTTGCCAGCACGGGTCTAAGCCGCGCCATAGACGCCGGTATTTTTTGTCAGAAGTCACCAGGTGATTCCGCTTGGTGCGGGGGCTGAGAACCGCCGAGGCCCGAGAGCGGTTCTTGGCTGCAGACAGCGGCTCCTCCGCGTGTGGAGTGGAGCGCCGGGTGCACAGGGGATTTCCCAGCCCCTAGCGGGAGGGAGGCAGCGTGGGCAGGGCCTTACCTCGGAACCTCCGCATCCGGGGATTCATCTGCAGGACGGCTCTCAGCTGGGGCTCCAGCTCCTTCACCTTCGACACCAACTGCCCCAGATGCCGATTGGGCCTGAGGTGGTTCTTCCGCGAGACCTTGGTGCAGAAGCTGCAGACCAAGCCCTCCCCGTGGGGCTCCTGCGGCAATGAGCGGACGCAGTCGGGGCAGAAGCTGCAGCCGCACTCCAGGCTCAGGGGTTGCTCAAGGTAGGCCGGGCAGGTGAGACATCTGCACATCTTTTGCAATAGTTCAGCCATGTCCGCTGCAGGGGGAAACACACACGGGAGTGAGTGACTGCTGGCCGACAGCAGTGACAAGCTGTCCAGCCACAGAGTTATCGTGACCCTGGAGCAAGACCAGGAGACGGCGGCCTTGATGCCTGTCATCAGAGAGCTGACGTCACAGATCGTCACTGGCATTGCACTGAGAAGGAGGCAGGGCCCCCGCTCACCCGGACCCCGCCGCAGGGACCAGCTGTGTGCCTGGACGCCTCACAGGGCGGCATCTATGTGAGACGCCCAGAGTGACCCTAGCAACCGTCTGATGGATGAACAAAAGTGCACCCTGTCTGCAGCCTTGGCCCTGAACACCGGGTCTCCCACCCACCACTCCTGGGCTGGGAGAATCCGGGCTGAGGGATTGGCAAACCCTGGCTGGGCACTCACAGCCCTTGTTGAATTCCTCAGTCACCAGACTCCCCCCCCTCCCCCAGCCCCTGCGCTGACTGCCACCTGCAGACAAGGGAGGACAGACGGACACACGGCACAGGCTCACCTGCTGGGCTCTGGGTTCACTTCATCCTCTGCTGCTTCCACAGTGGCTCAGTCTGGTGGGAGAGGAGGCACCCGTGCCTTTTATGGGTGGGAGCCCTCGCCCCTCCCTAGCCACACCCAGATGGTGTCCCATTAATCCCATGGACTTTGATTTGGTTACGGGATGGTGGGGGCTTTTATCTCCAAGAGGTACTCTGTGGGAATGGTATTTCTTTACTATGGAAATAAGATTAAATTGCCATGGCATAATACAAAGGAGCTTCAAAACATTTATAGAAAAAGGAATTAAAATATTAATTTTGGGGGCCGGTGCTGTTAATCCTCTGCCTGCGGCGCCGGCATCCGATATGGGCACTGAGTTCTAGTCCCGGTTGCTCCTCTTCCAGTCCAGCTCTCTGCTGTGGCCCGGGAAGGCAGTGGAGGATGGCCCAAGAGCTTGGGCCCTGCACCCACATGGGAGACCAGGAGGAAGCACCTGGCTCCTGGCTTCGGATTGGCGTAGCTCTGGCCGTAGTGGCCATTTGGGGGGTGAACCAACAGAAGGAAGACCTTTCTCTCTGTCTCTCTCCCTCACTGTCTCTGTCAAATAAATTAAAAAAAAATATTAATTTTGAGGCAAAAGTTTTTTGAAATTCAAGCATAATTTTTTCATAATACACATTTTCATGAACGTTTTGAAGACCTCTTATATGTATAGATTTCAAAAAAAACCTTTTTTTGTATCAAAATAGTCCTATTTTGGGGGTCAGCATTGTGGTGCAGCCGAAGCCACGGTCTGCAGTGCTGGCATCCCGTAGGAGCACTGGTCTTCCCGGTACTAGCACTAGTTGGAGACCCGGTTGCTACTCTTCTGATCCAGCTGCCTGCTGATGGCCCTGGAAAGCAGTGAAGATGGCCCACTGCTTGGGCCCCTATACTCATGGGGGAACCTGGAAGAAGCTCCTGGCTCCTGGCTTCAGCCTGGTCCAGCTCTGGCCATTGTGGCCCTTTGGGGAGTGAACCAGAAGATGGAGGATCTCTTTCTCTCACTCGTTCTTGCTCTCGCTCTCGCTCTCTCGATCTGTAACTCTGCCTTTAAAATAAATGTATCTTTTTTTAAAAAAAGAAAGAAAATACTTGGGGGGGTGTGTCTGTATGGAGCATGAACACAGTAATTTACAAACACTATTTTTAATAGATTTTAGTAATTAGAGTGGGGATGAGAGAGGGAGGAGGAAAGGGGTGGAAGCGTGGGAGGCAGGGTGGGAAGAATCACCATGTTCCTAAAGTTGTAATTGTGAAATGTATGAAGTTTGTAACTGTAAAACTGTACAATTCTGCATACATGCCTACGGACTTTCTTCTAAGGGTACAGTTTAAAGATTTGCGATGGGACCCCAAGTCCCCTTAAGCTGGGTAGTAAAAATATAATTTTAAGTGTTAAAGTGATCATATATATAGGATTAAGAATTTGATAATAATAATAGAATTAAAAAGGAGTGAATGCTCCAACATGGGAAGCAGACCATGTAGCAGACTCATAGAATGACAATTGCTGTAAGTAGTACTCTGACTTCAGAATCAGCCTTTAAGACATTCTGGTTTGGCTGAGAGCATTTCAGGCACGGAAAGCCAAGATACTGTGGCAAAAACTGTCCTACATGAAGGACTTCTGTGGGTGAGACTCCAGTGGAAAGAAGGGGTCATCAAAGAAGGAGGTACTTTTCTCTGAAGGCATAAGAGAACTTCTACTTTGTTTATGGCCGTGTCTAAATACTGACAGAGTTTGTGGACTCAAAAGGCTTCCCTAGCCTAGGCAGCTCATGTCAAGAGCCTCGGGTGGTCACTGATGTCGTACATAAGAGTGTTAATTGTTAAATGAACAACAGGAGTCACTGTGCACTAACTTCCCATGCAGGACCTCTGTCCTCAAAGAGTTGTATTATGAGAATTAACTGTAAAACTTGTTCTCAAAGATCTACTTTGCTTTAGTGTATTAAGTGAAGGATCTTCTTATGTCTCATAAGCTGTAGTTATGTCTAAGTGCTCCCAAAAGATGTATCATTCTTGAGTTCTTCTTCAAAGTTAATTAAGTTTATCTAAAAAAAAAAAGAATGCTTAAAGTAAAAAAGAATAAAAATTAATTAATTAAACCTTAGAAAGGTTTACTTTTATTGAATTAAAAAGTAATTTTCCTTATTATAAAAATAACCCTTCTGATGCTCTATTGCATAGTAGGACAACAAGAGTTAATACTAACATATTGTATATTTCTAAATAGCTGCAAGAAGGACTTTTGAATGTCCACAAAACAAAGAAATCTTGATTATATGAAGTGATGGATATTAATTATGCTAATTTGATCATTACAGTGTATGCATGTATTGAAATATTACATTGTTCCTCATAAATATGTATATTTAATGTGTCAATAAAAACAAATAAACCAAACTAAGCTATTTTTTAATTCCATTTTCCATGGATGTTTAAATTTTTTTAAAAAAATTTATTTCATGGGGTGGGATATTATGAGAGAGAGGGAGAGAGAATAAGAGAGAGAGGACATTCCCATCTGCCGGTTTGCTCCCCGCACACCTTCAATAGCCAGAGCTGGGTTGGGGCTGAAGCGGGGATCTAGGAACTCAAGTCCAGGTCTCTCTCGTCGGCAGCAGAGACCCAGGTACTTCAACCATCACGAGGGTGCGCATCAGCAAGAAACGGGACTCAGAAGCAGAGCCCCGAGAAAGCACATGAGGCTCCACAAAAATTAGAGCTGGAACTACTATGTGGGTGTCATTCCGCAATCCCAGGGTTCTCACGGGACATGCAGCCAGCTCATCAGAGATCCGTGCACCGCCACTGTCACCCAAGTAGCCAAGGTGTGGTCTGGCGATGGCTGCGTGGACAAAGGAGACTGCATTATATATGTGCATGCAATGGTAGACGATTCAGCCTTAGAAAGGAAATCCAGCCTGTTGCAGTCAATATTCATGAACCAAGAGGACATTACACTAAGTAGAATTAGATAGACAGGTAGGAAGTAGACGATCGTGTTTAGATGTAGAACAGTTGTTTCTAGGGGCTTGGGGTTTAAGGAAATGGGGAAATGCTGGGCAAAGCGTGCAAAGCCTCAGTGTACGCTGGCTGATTCAGTTCGGCTGATCTCACGCAGAGCCAGGTTACTGGAGTTCACAAGGCTGCACTGCATACTTGCAGTTTGCTAGGGGACTTGGTCTTTGTGTTCTCATCACACACACACAAGACGTAGTAAGCGTATGAGTTGTGTGTTGGTTATCTTGATTGTGGTCATCATTTCACAGTGTGTGTGTCTGTCAGAGCATCACTTGCTATTCCACAGACACATGGATGCGCTGGAAAATTGAATCTTTTAGAGTAACGGTTCCATAAGCACCGTCAGCCGCAGGTACAATAAAGGGTACATTTTGCAATGATTTCGTGGAAAGCCGTCCACGGTCATCGCAGCCAAGAAAGTGCTCTTGAAGAGCAGCTCCACTAGTGTGTGCATCAGAATCGTCAATTTTTTTTTTTTTAACAGGCAGAGTGGACAGTGAGAGAGAGAGAGACAGAGAGAAAGGTCTTCCTTTTGCCGTTGGTTCACCCTCCAATGGCTGCCGCGGCCGGTGCACCACGCTGATCCGAAGCCAGGAGCCAGGTGCTTCTCCTGGTCTCCCATGGGGTGCAGGGCCTGTGGGGAGCAACTGGGAGCAACTTGGACTGGACTGAGTTACTGGAATTAAGACTTATTCTATGCATCTGCTCTCCCACAATATGGCGCTGGGAGAGGAGGAAACAGCTTCTACACAGCTGCCTCCAGTTCAACCAATAAACTGTAGGACCTGCTCCTGATTGGAGGAGAGCAGCGTACTCGGCGTGTGGGTAGCAGAGTTGGGATTGGTGGAAGAGGAGGAGAGAGACAACATGCACCAGGAACATCTAAGGGGAACATCTATCTGAAGGAACACCTGAGCAGCCCCCGAGAGAGCCGGCCGGCGGTGTGCTGCTCCCCCACGGAAGTGGGGAAAGTGGCAGGGGGAACCGCCCTTCCACGGAGGTGGAAGGGACGGTAGCCAACCCGGGAAGAACCACCAGCAAACCCGGGGAGGGCCGAGCAGACAAAAGAACAGCGCAGGGTCTTGTGTCGTTCCTCCACGAAGACGGGGAGCGACATAATGGTGCCGTGACTCGGATATGAAGCCTAGGCAGGGTTTAGTGTAGTTCCTCCATGAAGAGGGGGAGCGACAGGGCCCAAGCACTTGGGCCATCCTCCACTGCACTCCCGGGCCACAGCAGAGAGCTGGACTGGAAGAGGGGCAACCGGGACAGAATGCGGCGCCCCAAAATCGTAAATTCTTAAAATTATTTGTATTCTTGCATTTGTCAAGAATCACGTTGCTTTCAAATGCATCAATTAAAAATGACATTCAGAGTAATGTCATAATAAATGAATTTGCATAAACAGGAGCTAGAAAAATCTTGGCACTTAACATATGTTGAAGTGTGATTTTTATACTGTACTATATTGCTACACTAAAAATGTTTTGGATTATGTAAATGTATGTTGCTACTCGTTTATTTTTCACTCCTATGATGATTTATATTTTAATGTTTTTACAAGCTTTTTTTTTTTTAACATTTATTTGAAAGGCAGAGTGACAGAGAGGAAGAGACAGATCTTCCATCTGCTGGTTCACTCCCTAAATCGCTACAACAGCAGGGGCTGAGCTAGGTCAAAGCCGGGAACCTGGAGCTCCATCCAGGTCTACCTTGTAGGTGGCAGGAGCCCAGGGACTTGGGCCATCTTCTACTGCTTTCCCAGGTGCATGAGCAGGGAGCTGGATCGGAAGCAGAGGAGCTGAGACTCAAACCAGTGCTCCAATAGGGGAAGCTGGCATTGCAAGCAGCAGCTGAATTCAACTGCACCACAGCACAGGCCTCTGTAAATCATATTTTTATTTATTTATTTGACAGGTAGAGTTACAGACAATGAGAGAGAGAGACAGAGAGAAAGGTCTTCCTTCCATTGGTTTGCTCTCCAAATGGACGCAACGGCCAGAGCTGCACCGATCTGAAGCCAGGAGCCAGGTGCTTCCTCCTGGTCTCCCATGGGGTGCAGGGCCCAAGCACTTGGGCCATCCTCCACTGCACTCCCTGGCCACAGCAGAGAGCTGGCCTGGAAGAGGGGCAACCGGGACAGAATCCGGCACCCCAACCGGGACTAGAATCTGGGGTGCCGGTGCCGCAGGCGGAGAATTAACCTAGTGAGCCACGGCGCTGGCCACAAATAAATACATCTTTTTAAAAAAATTGTGGAAAAGTAAAAAAAAAAAAGATAATTTCATTTTGGTGTGAAAAACAACTTTTGAAGTCCATGCAGTCTTTTCATAATGTGCATTTTTCATGAACTTTTTGAAAACTCTTAGTAGGCATAGGCACCTCAACAAACATTTTTTTTAAGTTTATATTTATTTGAGAGACAGAGTTAAGAGAGAGGGAGAGACACAGAGAGAGAGGTCTTCCATCACTGATTTACTCTCCAAATGGCCACAATGGCAGGAGCTGGGGCAACCTGAAGCCAGGAGCCAGGAAGTTCTTCCAGGTCTCCCATGTGGGTGCAGGGGCCCAAGGACTTGGTCCATCTTCTGCTGCTTTCCCAGGTGCATCAGTAAGGAGCTGGATCAGAAATGGAGCAGCTGGGACTTGAACTGGCGCCCATGTGGGATGCCAGCACTGCAGGCCAGGGCTTTAACCCACTGTGCCACAAGGCCCGCCCCACAGCTTCTTGAATAGACCTGTTCCCTTGCCTCAGCTGGCTTTGGAGCGGCGAGCAGCCGGGCCTCATTTGGGCCAATAACAGGGTCTCCATGCAGGTCTGCCATATGGGTGTTGGGAACCCAGCCATCCAAGCCACCACCACTGCCTCCCAGGTCTGCACCAGCAGCAGCTGGGATCAGGAGCGGGAGCCGGGAACCAAACCCGGCACTCTGGTGCAGACAGGCATCTGGGCTGGAGCTAGAAGCCACCTGCTGCTGGCCGGGGTCTCCAGCTGTGGGTAGAGCCTCGTCTTCCCTCTCTGCCCCGGCACCTGCTGCCCTAGCCCACTCTCCTTCGAGGCCCTTCTCTTGGGTGTCCCGGGACCTGTATTCCCAGGCATGCTAAAGCCAAGCCCAGGCCCGCCGTCCAGTCCACCACCGCTGCCAGCACCGGGCCCAGTGCCTGCCGCCAGCCATGAGTCCCACCATCTCAGACTCGGTCCGCTGCGGCCCCTAGGTGGAGGTCCTCCCCCGGGACTTGTGCCCAGAGCCGGGCGCTGAGGGGTGGGGGCCATCAGGAACAGAGCAGACCCGTGAACTGGAAGGGCGAGTGTGAGCCCCTGGGCTTCAGAGCAGAGCGGGGCTGCACTACCGGAGATTCTTAGGAAGCCTGCGGGGCACCTGCTCCTTCCCGGACGCCCAGGCCTCAGGTGCCCTCCGGGAAGAAGGCAGACACGGGCTGAGTCAGCAGCCTGCAGACCACGGCACCCACAGGTCAGCTGGCTGCTGCACACCCAAGCCACGGAACCCCGTCCACGACTTCAACCCAGGGCCGCCGCTCTCTGCAGCCTGCCTCTTGCCATGCACTGCCCTGGGCACTGCAGGTGGGTCCCCTGATTCTCATTTCCTAAAGAAGGACAGGGTGTGCGGCGTGGGGTAGGGGTCAGGTGTGAATTTCGGGTAGAAGTGAGGGCACAAGGGAGCTTTGTCTCTCCTTGTCGGGGGAACATCCATCAGACAGAACCACACTAAAGGACTGTGGCTGAAAAATCCAAACTACAACTCGTTACCTGCCATCGTTACGTCTTTTTTTTGCAAAAGTTTTGGCATTAAAAACTGAAAACAAAACCCCCGTGTGGAGGAACACAGAGCAGTGACTGCAGACACAGGCCCCCCGCACATTGTTGTCACTGTCACAGGGACGGCCACTGGGAGAGCGAGACTTCTAAAAAGCTCCTCCAGGCCCGCTCCCCTTCGTCCAGCACCTCCGGGGCTGGCTGTGCTCCCCAGTTCCACGCCTGCAGCCTGGCTCCCGTCCTCCCCAATCCTGACACATTTCTCCTCGGGAAGCGGATGCCTTGCAGCCCGCAAGTCTGCTCCGGGCTAACCAGCCAGAATAGCCCAGACCAACAGAGCTGCCTGGGTGACCTTGTGGTCTCATTTCCGTGCTAAGTGACACTGCCACCAGCCCATGGTGCGCTCCCTCCACTCGGAAAATGAGTCCCTTCCTGTGATGCAGTCTTGGGGCCTGGGAGCTGCGCCCCCAATGGCCAAGGAAGGACCAGGTCCTGGGAGCACTGAGGTGGGGTACTGAGGAAAACACCCCCAGGGTGAGCAGGCCTAGGATGCCCCCATTCCAAGACCAGGCCCCTGTGCCCGAGACCCTCCATCCCTTTCCGAGTACGGAGTCTCCAACCTTGAACTCGTGCAGAGGGTGAGAGAGGAGCCGCTAGCTCCTTCCAGAGTGGGAGTCTCACCCCGGGGCCCCCAAAGGGGAGCCAGGGAGCGGCACAGGGCTGCCATGGGGCTCCCAGGACATGAGGCCAGAGACCCTGCGAGCAGGTGAAGGAGTGGAGCGGACAGGTGCGGGCCACACCCACACCACCTGGTGCCCTCCCGCAGACACCAAGTGCATGAGCGAGGCTGCACGAGGCTCAGGAACCCCAGCCCAGCACGGAGCAGCAGGCGCTCCTGACGGTCTCCTGGCCCAGCACAGGAACTTCCCCGAGTCCTCGTGGTTTCCATGTGAGATCCAAGCCCAGGCTCCCGGTCCCTGCTTGGCTGCCGTCTTGTGCTGTTCATAGAGTGTGTCCCCCGCAAGCTTCCTGTTGGCATCCTGTGTGCACCACGCCCCAGCATCCCCCAGTAAGCCCGCATTTGAGGCAGTGGGTAAGAGAGCAGAAGCCGGAGCTGGGAGCGGAGCGGTGACCGACACCTTGCCGTGGCCCGAGGCTGTCCCGTGTCAGGGTGCTGTTCTCAATGTATTTTCCAGGATCACGGCTCAAGGTGTCGAATTATGGGATCCGAGACCTTTCCCAATTAACCCACAAAAGACAGTCACAGGTGCAAGGGCAAGAGGATTGATTATTTTATTGCCAGGAGCTGGGGCTCCCACAGTGCAGTGCGAGGGTGAGAAGCCGCGCCTCTCTCCTTCTCAGCGTTTTTATACACTTGAGTAAACAAGTATGTTTGTCATTACGCACGTACACTAGTTCTTTTATTTTTTTCTGTGTCAATTACCTAAATTTGAGCATTTTATTGGTACATTCCGGAAGTCCAGGACTATGTGTCTCAGAGGGAAGTGGTCACACAAGGAAGTAGGAGACCATTAATTTCAGGAAGTATTTACTAAGTTTTGTTTTCTGAGAATTGGGCCTTCCGGTCTTCCTGGAGTTTGTGAAGCCTGTCGTGGCGGTACAACTATTTCCCCTCCCTCCCTTTTCTTACGCTGGACATCCTGCATTAAGTCATTGAGCAAGCAGTGCAGAACAGAAGCAAAAAGCAATTGATACTCAGTATCTGCTAGTTCTATATATATATATATATATATATATATTTCATTTCAACAAAGGATGCACAAAAAAGGCCAAATTTAGGAGACGCGGGGAAAGTGATCTGGTTGAGGAAATCCAGGACCTCGGCAGATAGACACAGCGTCCGGCTCCACACCATGGGGGAGCCGACAACGCCCTCCCTGCCCACGATGGCTCTGCCGGCCCCAGGGCAGTGGAGCCTGGAAGTGCCCTCCTGAGGGCGGCTGTAGTTTGCACGCCAGGGACCAGGGTCCGGGCAAGGCACGCGCTTGGGGCTGGTGCGGCCACTGCCCGTGCTCAGCCGGGCCCTCATCCGGCTGCTCAGCTCTTTGGTGAAGGAGACGCTGGGGGCTCAGGGCTGGCCTGAGGCACTGAGCACCAGCCTGCAGGCCACACTTCGGCTGTGACTCCTGGCGGCGCATCCCCCAGCTCTGGTCCGTTGAAGCTGCTGCCAGCTCTCAGTGCAACTGTCATGGAATGTCCTGGCTTCTGACAGTTGGGAGTTGAGCACTCGGGGTGGTCACCTGACCCGGGGCAGCCTCAGCGCAGGGCTGAGTCGTGTGTTCTGGGGGAGGGACACCAGTGTGGACCCGGGGGCCTTCGGCTGCCTGAGGGCTGGGGCTTGAAACAGAGAGGCAGGGCCCAGAGTTGAGTCTGGCTGTGGGGCCGGGTGCCTCCTCCAGGACGTCCACCTCCTGGCTGCAGCCACCTTTGGGTGGGCGCGTCCTGGAAAGGGAGGAGAGCCCTTGGCCGTGGCCAGGGTACAATCCAGGGGTGTCAGGTGTCCAGGGATCTTCACGCCCAGGGATCCAGCTGTACTCCCTGGATTCGCCACTCATCGGTGATAGAACGCTAGGGAAGCCACTTCATGGCACTGATGCCAGTGCTGTGAAACCCCAAAGTAGAAGTCAGGGCCCCTGCTCTGCCCGTGCCACCTCTCAAACCGCAGCGGGCTTGGACGGTGCGCGGTAGTGCACCGTCCCCATGCCCGCGGGGAAGGGGAAGCCGCATCTCCCTGATTCCTCGCCTTCCACGGACCCTCCCGGAGGCCACCAGTCCCTGAGGTCTTGCTGACTTGGCCAAACACTCCAGAACTGAATAGTCACGTAGGTGGTGCTTACGAAACACCAGCTATTTTTCTTCAGGCTTTGTGTTTACTTATTTGAACCTCACAGCCCTCCTAATACGCAGGCCCTGTTGTCCACAGTACAGGGCAGGGCACTGAGCAACAGAGGGACTGAGAACATCCCCGGGGGCACGTGGCTTCGATGCCGGCCAGTGGACGGGGCACCCACGCTCACATTCGGTGCATGGCGCTGGCTTCTGCACCGTCTCCTCCGTGGAAAGCCGTCACTCCCGCCCCACCAGGCTGCTGGGTGCTCCACGGGCACACCCGACTCGAGTCCTCCTGGCTCAGGTGGCTCCTCTGGGCGGCCAGCGGGAGGGAGACCCAAAGTTTCACCTGAGGGTGAATATCCATACTTTTCCCAGCACTCTTGGGAATGCGTCTCCCAACATCTTGCTGCAGGAATGTAGCCAATAAAAGAAAGACAGCCTAGAGGTCGCTGGCTCCAGGACTGCCCTCCCCCTGCCCCATCAGACACCAAAACCCACGCACGCTCCAGTCTCTTGTATAAAAAGGCAGCGTATTTGCCAAGAACCTATGCAATCCTCCCACATACCTTAAGTCATGTCTACATTATTTTAATACCTAATTTAATGTTGTTTACCTGAAGCCAGCCATAGAGAACTGCCACACAACGAGAATTTGGAATGAGTTCTTTATTTTAGCCAGTGGTGGAAAGCGGGTTCATGCCCTAAAGAATGCTTGACCCCAAAGCTCAAAGCAACAGGGTTTATAAAGGCAAAAACCACAAGGAGAGGAGGGGGAATACATGGTTACTAGGGTCAAGCTGACCTAAAGCATATGCAAAACTCAATCACAATCTTGACAATATCAATTACAATCTTTTTTTTTTAAGATTTTATTTATTGCAGAGGTAGAGTTACAGAGAGAGGGAGAGACAGAAAAGTTTCCATCTGCTGTTTCACTCCTCAAATGACCACAATGGCTGGAGTTGGGCCCATCTGAAGCCAGGAGCCAGGAGCTTCCTCCGAGTCTCCCACACAGGTGCAGGGGCCCAAGCGCTTGGGCCATCTTCTACCGCTTTCCCAGGCCATAGCAGAGAGCCAGGTTGGACTAGAACCAGTGTCCATATGTTATTGGTGCCGCAGGCAGAGGCTTAGCCCACTATGCCACAGTGCCACCCCCCAATGACAGTCTTGACATTAGTCCAGGTACCGACTTAAATTGTATGTGGGGCTTATACAAATTATAACCTTGACATTAGTCCAGGTGCAGCCTATCTGTTTTAAGCTTGAGCAATCATGCTAGGGGATTTCTATGTTCTACCAAGCAAGACGTAGTGTATTGTTATTGTCTTAGTTTCAGACCAGAGACTCACAGTAAGGGGTGCTTTCTCAAGATGGAGTCTCGGGTGCCCTAAAATGGAGTCCCTACTCTTAAGGTGTTACTTCAATGTAAATGCAACAAAAAAGTGGTTGCTATATCACGTTGTTTAGGGAATAATGACAAGAAACAAGTCTGTGTTCAATACAGATGCAAATTTTCTGAATGTTTTTCACTAATGGTTGTTTGGGTCTTCAGTCAGGGACCGCAGATATGGAGTCACTGATTCCAAAAAAATACACACATGGTGTTTGACACTGGGGAGGGGGAGGAATCGCCCGGCCCCACAGTCACTCAGAGGCATCCTAACGGGCTCTGTATAGACCAGGGTTAAACCTCCAGTATCGTCTCGTCTGCTGACATCACGGGGCTGACGCATTAGCTGATCCAGGAGCAAGGGGTGGGGTGCATTCCCTGCGCCACATGAAGAGACAAGCTACACCACTGTTTTATTGAGGTATAATTCACATTCCTTAAGTTCACCTTTTCAAGCGTATGATGCAGTGGTTTTGGTGTAGTCAGGCTTTGCAGTCACACAATTTCACTACATTTCTCATCAGCTCATCAGCTCCTTATCAGCCAGCCTTGTTCTCTCCACCTGCCAGGCCCGGCGACCCCTGACTTACTCGCTGTCTCGGTGGCCGACGCTCCTGTCCTGGGCGCTCCGTGAGAATGGAGCCATCCCGTGTAGCGCCTCCTGTGTTTGACTTCTCTCGGGAAGCACAGTGCCTCCAGGTGCACCGTGTGGCAGCTCCTAGCAGTGCTGCTCCCTTCCAGGACCCAACGGCGCTCGCTGGGCCAACGTGGCCTGGTGTGCTTTTCTATTCTCAGTTGCTGGGTGACTGGGTCACTTCCACTTTGGGCTGTTAGCAATGGTGCCACTAGGGCTACTCATGCAGTATGAACGTGATTTTAGTCCTGCTGGGTGTATCCCTAGGAGCAGAATTTCTGGACCATAGGGTACCTCTGTGTTTGACTTCCTACGGAACTGTCAACTTCTTTTGTATTTGCGCAAGCAATGCGTGCGGTTTCCAATTTCTTGACACCATTGGCAGCATTTTTCTGTTAAAAAAAAATTATAGCCCTCCAGTGTCCCTCGTGTGTGATGAGTCACTCTTGGTTGTTCTCATGAGTCTCTCTTTGCCTTTGGCCTTCAGCTGACTATAATGTGAACTTGCACTACTTGGAGTGCACTGGACTTCTTGTACATTTCCCAGTTACTGAAGAGAAGCAGCAGTCGTGGTTCATCTGCTGGTTCACTCCTGCAATGCCTGCTAGGGCCAAAGCTGGGAGCTTGGAAGGTAACGCAGGTCTTCCACGTGGGCGGCAGGAAGCTGACTACTTAAGCCGTCGCTGCTGCCTCCCAGGGTGCAAATTATTAGCAGGAAGATGAGACAGATTAAATCCAAGCATTCCCGTGTGGGACATGGACGTAACTGGTGGCTTAATGGCTAAGCCAAACACCCACCCTTTGCACATTTTTGATAGAAGTGCTTCAAAAAATGTGAGAAGTTTTGAGCTCTCATTCACATATCCTTGCTACCTCTTTTTCTCTGTCATATCTTTCTGATTGTGCCTTGGTTACCCGGGTTGATTGATAGTGTCCCATCGGTCTCCAGGACTCTGTGGCGTCCTCACTATTCATCAGGGTGGGCAATCTCAAGGCCACTGGTGGTTGCTTCTGCCTGCCCAAATCCACCGTCCATCCCTGTTGTGGGGGTTGCTTTTTTTTTTTTTTTTGCCTCTTGTGCATCAGCCTGTGTTGGGCAATCCCCCCACCCCCACCCCTTAGTAGATGTCTCAAGTCCAGTATCTCAAGGATCAAAATGGTTGGCACACGAGCTGCTGTGTCGATAACAGTCAAGACCCTTGGGAGCCCCTTTTATCTGACAAGCGTGCACCTGTGCATTTTCTAGACACTCGCGAATGTGTTGGGAGCCCAGCTTTCCCGCCCTCGCCAAGGCCACGTGGCCCAGCTCCCCTCTGATGCTTTTTGCTTCGTGTATTGTTTGACTCTAGAGGAAACTGTCAACCATTTCGAGCGTCCACACACCGTGGCCCGTGGTGGTTACTGACAGTTGTGCCAGAGACCACATTGTACTTTTTTGCCTCGGGCAAGTTTGAGGTCAAGTCTAAGACAGGCAGATGAAGTCTTGTGGAGCACCAGCATGCACTTCACAAAGGAGCCATTCTCTGGGAATGAGGTTGGGAGGCTCGGGCCCGGTGCTGCTCCCTACAGTGGCTGCCCTGTGGCCCTCTTCGCCACGGCTGTGAGCTGTGCACCTGCAGAGGAGCAGGCTGGGTGGGGGGGAAGATAAACTGCCACGAAGCTCACCGTTCTCCCTGAGATCCAGCTGTGAGTCGGCTTTTTCCGGACTCAGGACTCCTTTGGTTACTGCAAGGGTTTGGTTCATTTCCAGGGTTCTGAAAAAATATTCGTGGTGACTTTTATTTTTGTTGGGAGACAGGGCAAGGTTTCTTGCTTTTTGAGAGGAGGGGATTTTTGAGAGGATTTCTTTCACTGGCCATTTTCTCTAAGGTCACTTGCTAAAATCAGATTCGTGTGATTATCCTGGGAAGTTTGTGACGGTCACGACTCACTGTAAATTGTAATCTCAGACGGACACGTCTCTCGCCGGGGCAGGGGAGTGTTCATCATGTTAGGTCACATGAGGCTCAAACCTCAAAATAGAAGAGATTTTCATTCTAAGTAGAAATTTCTTCAAATGTTATGCTGAATAATAGTACCTGATACCTCTGGCTTATATTGACAATATCCTACAATTGAACAAGCAAAATGTGAAAAACCCTTTGAACTAAAAAATTCTTATATGAAAAATTTCATGCAGCATTTTATTGTGCTTATACATTCATTTTTTTTAAAATAATATTTGAGAAGCAGAGAGAGAGAGAGAGAAGTATCTTCCATCCGCTGGTTCACTCCCCAAATGGCTGCAACGGCCAAAGCTGGGCTGATCCAAAGCTAGGAGCCAGGAGCTTCTTCCGTGTGCAGGGGCCCAAGCTCTTGGGCCATATTACACTGCCTTCCCAGGCCATAGGCAGAAAGCTGGATCAGAAGAGGAGCAGCCGGGACACGAACCAGTGCTCATATGGGACGCCGGCGCCTGAGGCAGAGGCTTCGCCTACTACGCCACAGAGTCGGCTCTGCTTATACATTCATTTAACTGATCCTCTCAATGAAAGAAAAAGCCAATGTAAATCACAAATACTTATTATTAGCCATGTAGACCTTACCAA